CAGCCTCCCAAGTAGCTGGGACTACAGGCATGTGCCACCATGCCCGGCTAATTTTTTTTCTATATATTTTTAGTTGTCTGATTAATTTCTGTCTATTTTTAGTAGAGACGGGGGTCTCGCTCTTGCTCAGGCTGGTCTTGAACTCCTGAGCTCAAGCAATCCACCGGCCTCGGCCTCCCAGAGTGCTAGGATTACAGGCATGAGCCACTGCACCCGGCCTGCACTTCTTTAATGACTAATATATTGACCATCTTTGTGTGTGCTTATTTGCCTCTCCTACATTCTCTTCTGCAAAATGTCTCTTCATGCCTTTTGCCTATTTTGTAATTGAGTTGTTTTTTACTGTTGAGTTTTGAGAATGTATATATATTCTTAATATATCCTACTACTATTTTTCTTAGTATAATCTGTAAAATGTACAGATTTTTTTCATCACGCTCCATATTCCTCTAAGTCCCCCCTAGTTTATCCCTATTTGCCTGCCATTCAATTATCACTTTCTTTGTGTGCTGTGACAAGAAGTTGGAAAGCATGACCTTGAGGAATCGCTCTATGGGCTGCTCTACAAAGTCATCGAAAATTGTTCTCAATTTATATTCTCATGTATGTATACATTTTTTAGAGAGAAGATCCAAGGTTTTCATGAAATTCGGGCCCTCCTCATTTTATTCCACATCTGAGTGACAAGTACTACCAACTACTAAGTCACCCGAACTAGAAACCTGAGATTCATGGGCTCTATCTTATAAGCTCATAAGCACCTCTGCAATCTGTCCCTTCCTCGCTATCTCCTTAGTTTTAGATCTTCAACATTTTTTCTTTACCTGGATTTCAACTTACTATTTTCCCACGTTGAATGAAAATTTTGTTTTAGTGTGTATCCTATAACACTGAATTTTCTAAGTGACATTCAAAATTTTCACTTGAAACTGCAAGAAACTTAAAATACAAAAACGCTAATAAAAACATTAAAATTATCTATTACCCAGGAATTATTGATAACATTTTGGTGTACAGTCTTTCAATCTTTTTTAATACTTATTTATTTACATATAAAGTATGTGCATATTTAGTTTATAAAAATAGGATCACATTGTTCATACTTTTTAATCTGTTTCACACATTAAGCAAACATTACTAATACTTTCCCATGTCAAATATCCTCTACAGTATATTACAATCTATTATTCTTTCAAGTGGATGTACCATAACTTCTTTTAGTATTCTTCTATTAAATAATTTTTAAGAACATTTTTACATTTTGTCTATTATAAAAATCACCATATGAACATCCTTGTACATATACCTACAGCCTTAGAGTAAATCATAAAACTAGGTAGGATTTTAAGTATTAGCACCTATTGTTTAAACTTGCATTCCTTTAATTATTTCTAAATTGTACAGTTCCCTTATATTTTTTCCTATATAAATTGAATGTTAATGTGTATTTCTCAGTTTTCTATTAGAATGTACATATATTTCCTATTAATTTGTAAAAAATCTTCTCAGTTTTCTACTAGAATGTACATATATTTCCTATTAATTTGAAAAAAATCTTTATATATTAAGACTATCAACTATTTGCCATATGTATTTGTAAATATTTTTGATTACCTGCCTTTTCATTTTTAATTTGTATGTAGAATAGGTTCTTTCATTTTAATGCTGTCAAATCTATCATTTTTTTCTTTCTGATTCAGGAATTTCGTTTAAAAATGTATTCCCCATTCCCAAAATCATATAAATATTCACTTACATTTTCTACTATTTCCTTTATGGTTTTTGTTTTGTTTTGTTTTGTTTTTATATTTAATTCTTTAGTTCCTCTGAAATTAATTTTGATATGTTGAATGAGGAAGAGATCTAACTTAGTTTAAATTAAAATAGATAAGCATTAAAGAACATTACAAATCAAAAGACTTACCTCTGGGGTAGAGAAAGCAACTGAGAGGGGTACAAAAGAGAGATTTAATTTTGTTAGAAATATAATATTTCTTAAGATGGCAGGATACTGTTGTATAGGCCCATAAGTTCTCATTTAAAGCCTTGGGACCCCAAGGTGTTTCGGACTTAAGAATGTTGTAGATTTTATAAAGATAATAAGGTATATATTGTTTATTATGTAATATCCCCCAATGGGTACCAGGATAGTGCCGAATAATCAAATATTAATATTTCTGTAGCAAAACATAAAAATTTATGCTAAATAAAATACGTTAAGAAATTTGATGGTTTCAGCCAGAAGTCGTGGCTCACGCCTGTAATCCCAGAACTTTGGGAGGCTGAGGCAGGCAGATCGCTTGAGGCCAGGAATTTGAGATCAGCCTGGGCAACATAAGCAAGACCTCATTCTAGAAAAAATTTAAAACTTAGCCGGGCATGGTGGCACATGCATGCACCTGCAGTCCCAGCTACTCGGCAGGCTGAGACAGGAGGATTGCTTTAGCCCAGGAGTTCGAGGTTGCAGTAAGCTGTAATTGTACCACTGTACTCAAGATCCTATCTCTAAGAAAAAAAATTTTGATTTAAAAAACATTAGTTAATTAATTAAAATAAAAAAGAAATTAAAAAAAGAAATTTCATGTCTGTTTCAGTCATGTTTGTGGTCAAATGAGTTCTGAAATTATTGTAGCTTTAGAATATAATATCTGATAGTCCACTCTGCCCCTCAGTAAAAATGTTTCTTTGTTTTTCTTACCAATGTATTCTTTTATATGAATTTTACACTCATTGGCAAATTAACCCTATGCCCAGGAAAATCCTTTTAGGATTTTAATTCAAATTCCAGTTTTTAAAAAATCAAAAGCATAAGGACTGGAAAGAAGAAAATAAAACTGTTATTACTTATAGATCACATGAGTGTTTACATAGAAAACTCAAAAAAACTGCATAAATTATTAGAAATAACGGAAGAGTTTAGTGAAGTAGTTAGATTTAAGATCAATAAGCAAAGTGAGTTATCGAAGTGAATTTGTTATGCCAGGGACCAGACAAATGTGACGAGCTTCCTTCCTGAATCTTAATTTGTCACATCAAGAAAGAAGCTTCATGCTTTGGTAGAAGACCCTGCACAACAACCACTGATGTTTCTTCCTTTGGCCTAGATACCATGCTACAAAGAATTCTACCGCAGTGCCCTGAAATTTTGTCATCCTACAGTGATAGCTTTTATCCAGCAAGGAAGCAGATGACATGAAGAGTCAAACTGAGTTTTTGTTCGAAAGAAACAGTTACTAATTACTGGTTCTGAGTCACATGTAATTATATTCCAATAAACTCTAAGTTTTTAGCTAAATACCCCTGATCTCAATTATCTAGGTTTCAGTATAAATTCCTTTCATACTATACAAAAATCTTTACTATAAGTATGTGATCTGCATTGTAGTCCCTATTCCTTTAATGCTAATCAAAACCCCACCAACAATTGTGTCTTAGAATTTCCTTACTTTGAGTTTCTGGGCTTCTCCTCTTACTTTCAGCAGTTCAGTTATAGAGTCCACAAAGCCCTGGTAATGAAAGTTGCACATTTTCTCAATTTCTCGGTCATGATTGCGGATGCGAGTTTCAAGCTTCTCCATGAATCGTCCGTGTTCCTCACCATCATAGACAGACCTTTAAAAAAAATGGTATGAAGATTACACCACAGTTACTTCTAAGAAGGAGAAACAGAATTACAAACCAAAAGCAAATCAAGTATCTTTGGAAATTAGATACTGAGGATATATAAACCACAAAGTAATCCAATTGTATACTAACATTGCCTCAATGTAAAATGAGTATTTTTCAGGAAAATCCAAAATTCTGCTTTCTCATTCATTCAAAAATATTTGAATGATTGACAGTATTCATCACAGAATTCTCATCATAATATGAAAAGACTAAATTACAACTCCCTTGTACTTTTCTTTTTCAATTAAACTAGTATAAAAAAACTCAATTTTGGTTAAACCCAACTATCCAATTACTCCATGACTACATACTCAAGAAGCTGAACATTGCTGGAGACAAATCACATAGCTGTGCTGGCTAGACTCAGTATAGCTATATAACTACAAATGTAAATTAGGCACTCAATACCACTATATAATCCTACTACAACTATCCCCCTGCCTCCCCCGCAAAAATCACTTTGTATTCTCCAAAATATTTATATATGGGAACCTTACTTTCCCCTCTCCTCAAATGTTCATCCCCTCACTCTCAGCTACTCCCCTGACTATATAACTTATAGAAAAAAGAGACACAGAGAAGTATCTCCCCTCTCCCCACTAAAATCAACCAACCTACTTATATCTATAACTCCTACTCTGTCCACCCTCCTATAACAATGGAAGAAGTATTGCAAGCTTTTATCTGTACTCAATCCTTCGTGTTCTCTCAAGAACTTTACCCTACCACTATTCCCTTTTATCCCTTCTTGGCATCATATATTTCTCCCTCTCTAATAGATCATTCTCTTAGGTATATAAGCATGATTTTTAAAAACCTGCCCTTAACCACACATCCCCCTCCAGCTACCATCTTGTTTCTCTGTTCTCCTTCCTCACAAAACTCCTTTCCACTTCCTCGCCTCCTCACTTTCTTACCTTACTTACTGGAGTAAGTATTCATCTTACTCCACCTAATAGCAGCATTTGCTATGGTTTGATAGTCTCTCCTTCTTTAAACACTCTCTTCTGTAGACTTCAATGATACTTCACTAACATGGTTTCTTAATCTCCTTTCTCAGCTCTTCTCCTCTATCACATCCTTAAATATCCCTAAAACCCCTTCTCTTCTCTATCTATGCTCTCTCATCAAGTGACACCATCTAATCCCATGGCTTTAAAATACCACCTATATAGTGCTGACTTACCAATCTATACCTACAAATCAGAGCACTTCCCTGAGTGCTAGATTCATATATCCAGCTACTATTTAACAACTCCAGTTGGATTTTTAAAAGCCATTCAAATTTAACACAGGGAAAAAAATCTCAATTATCAACCTATCTCCACTCCCAAACTTATTCCTCTCCAAATTTCCCAATCACCAACCCACCCCATCACAGATAATGGCATCATCACTTGCCCCAGCCAAAAATCCAGGAATTATTCCTAATCTATCTCTTTCCATCATGCATCCCATCCAATCCATTAATAAGTCCTGACAACTCAACCTCGAAAACATGTCCTACAATTGACCATATCCCACCACTTCCACTAAAACCCTAGTCCAAATCTATATAATCACCACACTGGTCTAATGCAATGGCCTCCTAACAGTCTCTATTCTGTACTCCCCCTCTCCCTCATCCCTGCCCCAATACAAATAATCCACACAGCAATTAAAATGATCTTTTAAAAGCAATAACTCAGATGTATCCTCCTATTTCAATCTCTCCAATGGCTTCCCTTTACAAAAAGAATAAAAATCTTGAACTTTATTATGTTCTATAAGGCCCTATATAATCTAGCCTCTGATTTTCTCTCTAACCCCATTTCTCTCCTCTCTCTAGTTCCCACCCCCAATCTCCTTCTATCATCCTCTATGTTCCAGCTACACTGGCTTTTTTTTAGCCTCTTCTTGCCTCAGAATTTTGTTTTGCTGTTTTTATGCCAGTAATGCTTATCCCCTCTATCTTTGAACAAGCTCCGCCTCATCATTGTCCATGGTTTGTTGTTTATCTCTTCCCACAACCCACCCCAACTAGATTATAAGCTCAAAGGTAAGAACTTTGTCTGCCATATTCATCACTGTACCTCTACAACAATGCCAGACAGGTAGTAGGCAGTAAGTAAACATCCATCGGCTAAGAAATGACTAGCAGGGTCTCTAAGACCTCTTTGATCTCTGATATCTGTTCAACAAATACATATTTGCTCACTGCCAACATTTTCTGGTTCTATAATCACTTGTAGGTACCAGATCACACCCTGATCCTGTGCATCAGAAAGCACACTCTCCTCATCAGGTCCTTTCCACTGCCCAAAACTCAGCAGTATCCACAGACAAAACATATATAGTCATGTACCACATAACAATATTTCAGTCAGTGATAGACCACAGGTACAAAAGTGGTCCCATAAGACTGTAATAATGCTGCAAAATTAACTATTTTCTAGTGAAGTTATAGCTGTTGTAACATCATAACACAACACATTACCTTTTTTATGTTTAGATACACAAATACTTACCATTGTTACAATTGCCTACAGTATTCAGTACAGTAACATGCTGCATAGTTTATAGCCTAGGAGCAATAAGCTATACAATATAGCCTAGGTGTGCAGTAGGATATATACCATCTAGGTTTGTAAGTATACTCTATGATGTTCACACAACAAAAAAAAAATACCTAATGACACTTTTCTCAGAACATATCTTCATACATGATGACACATTTGGCTTCCAGTGAAGAATCTAAACACTTCAGAAAAGGCAGAGCAATCTAGATTCATTCTCCTTCCTTTGAAGTGAAGGGAGATCATCAAATAAATTACAAATAATCCCTGCTTTGATGAGTAAGAAAACTGTAAAATAACCATTTGCCTGAAGGAGCTATTTGGAATACACAAGACAGAATCTACCATTGACATTTCAACTAATCTCAAATAAGCTTAACTTTTCCCCTTTCAATGAATGGAAAAGAAAAGTTTCCATGTAAAGTTATTCATATTCCTTGACATTTGGAGAATGGGAAGAATCACTGAGAACTCCTCACCCTAAATGGCATAAGCTGACAATATTATTCAATATTAGACAACTTCTTGGTTTCAAATTCAGTACACCCTGACTTGGTAATATTTCTAAGTTAGGTAGCAAGTCTACCTAACTAGGTAGAAGTTAGGGAAAACTTCCTTTTTTTCCCTCAAAAGATCTACATGAACATCACAAAAGAGAACCTGTGGAGAAGAAAATCCCAAAGCTAAGAAATTCAGAACTTATATTAATAATGCCTCCCTAAGCTCCCTGTACTTCCTGTTTAAAAACAAACAAACGAACAAAAAACAGAAATCCAAAATCAAAAAAAGGAAACATGAATTTTAGCTGCTTGACTGTGCCCTTAGCACTGTAATTAACTAGCTATGAGTCTTTGGCCAATTCAATTAATCTCTCTGACCCTCTTTCCCATTTAGAAAGTAGAAAGAATCAATTACAATTCTCTGAAGTACTAGCTTCCCTTTTAAGTTTCTACAATTCGCCCCTACTTTCAAATTCAGTTACTAGAGTAAAGATCATACATTTTCAGAATAGTGTAGAGGTAGTAATTCCAAACAAGGAAGTTTCTACCTCATCACCACCCCCCATCTATCTCTCCTATCTTAGGGCCTTTATCATTCTAATATTCTCTTTAATTATAATGTTGAATAACATGAAAGGTTTACAGTTGATCCCTAGAGTATTCTGAGAATTAAAAAAGTTGGAGTAAAATGCACATATTTAAAACAAGGAATGTGGACTACACTTAATATACTTGTGTTCCATAGGTAAGCCTCAGAAAATCCATGATCCCCAGATTCTGTGTGGAGTTTGTATATATCTATACATATACATGCATTTTTAAAAGAAAATTTTCCCATAGTTTCCATCGGGTTATCAAAGAGGTTAAAAACCACTGACTTAAAGGTTTTGTCTCAAATTGTCCAGCAAAAGAAAAGACAATTATGAATTAATCACTACCTAACGGTTCACCTTGAATCAGCATTTCAAGCATATCTCAGTATAACTCCTTGCTATCCAATATATCAAAAATAAAAGACTAAAAACAAAAACAAACACAGTTTAAACTGTGGAAAGGTCAGAGATCTACTGATGCTAACCTAATATTGGTAGTCAACCTTGTAGTTGAACAGTGTGGTTTTTTTTCCCCTTTTAAAAAATGACTTAAAGTAGAGAAAGACTGCCATCTAGTGATGGTCTATTTCTAAAATTCCTTAAAACAATGGGGCGAAGTAAACAGGACTGCTTAAAAATCTAAAAACTAAAAAAAAAAAAAAAAATCTAAAAACTAAATTCTATAATACTTGTTGGCCAAGGACTTATAGCTAATTATTAAATGATAAGTAAAGTACTCTAATGTTTAAATTTCCATTGCTATTAGAAGGCAAGAATTTGAGAACAAAATCATAGGCTTTTGACATGTCCAGGTATGTCACAGTGAAACAAGAGTTTCTATGGAATAAACTGCACCACTGGTTTAATTATTTGTGATAATTTCAAGAATATTCTCGTATTTAACAAAAGGTAAACAAGAAGAAATGCTTAAAAATTAACAATAACTTTTTATAGCCTAAATTTTGACTCAACTAAATAAATGCTGACCTATGGAGGCTGATTTCCAAAAATCCCCCAAATAAACCACAGGTTTTTACAAAAAGTAAATTATCCTCCTAGTGTAAATATCTGATGCACACTTCTAAATATCATACGAGTACTATATCCCTCTCCCAACCTAGACTTCATGAGCATATTAAGAGACAGATTTTAACTTGTAAAATGGCACTTGAGGAATTCTGTTCAACAAATATTAATATTTACCATTCTTCTATACCAAACTACTACAGGATTGTATCACTTGCATAGAGTCTGTATCAGCTCAAATTTGCCTGTCAAAAAGGGGGTAAAATAAT